TGTTGCATTTTTTGGAATTTTTATCAGTAATTACGAAATCATAATCTTCTGGAACGTTCTCAACAGTTCCAGAGGGTATTCATTGAAAAAAATCTGCATCCTGGCATCAGGACGCATTGTCGCCAACGTGTTAAGATATAAAGACGTCACAGTCCATGACGCCCGTCTTCGTAGATAATGAGATAGTTTCAACCAGTTTCAATGGCGGAGTTTTAGCAACCATCCCAATCTGTAGCTGTCATTTTGGTATCATCTGTAGCTCGCATGTTTATGCCTCTTAAAGATTGCTAATTATAAGCCGGTGACTCTTCAAATCGGAAAAGTTGGTGGCTCATGCTCATGACCCATCACTTCATATCATTGGGAATAAAATTTCCCAATGATATGAAGTGATGGGTCATGAGCATGACCCATCACTTCATATCATTGGGAATAAAATTTCGGCTCCGGTCTCTCATTTTGCCGATGTAGCGACGCGCCACCTAAGAAACGGAGAGAACGCTATTGATAATTGTACCGTGGGGTTCCAGTCGAAGAAGACTCCAGCCGGAGGGGGGGGCGGCGGGTCTGAGCACGCAGCATCTACACGTAAGGAGCAGACAGCACGACCTCCTCATCCAAACTGACCTGAACTCCGCGTGGCGTTTCGTATATGTAGGACTGTAGGAACCTGAAAGAATGCAAGAGCCGGCGCTGGCAAGGATGTCCGTGTCCCAGAGTCCCGTTGCGAGACATGGCATGGACACGAATGGGAATTTGGACAAGAACAGGCTGCCGTTGGGACATCTGTACGTCACCATCCAACCGTGCTGTCTCATGCTCACCTAATAAATGAGATCATCTCGGATAATTTTCTCGTGCCGTTATCCAAGAGTAGCAAAACCTCCTTCCACTTGCGACGTGCATAACTCACGTACATTTCCTGAATTCCAGTCGTATTCGATGCCACCGCCGGGAGGGACAGGAGGAGGGGAGAAGCAAGCCGAATCTGTCGCAAAATGTCATTTCAGTTATGAACTGTCTACTAAAAATTGCGATTTCTTCTGGCCTCGCAGACCGATCAATGATTTTAATGTTGCATCTCAAAGGGTTTTGTTATGCAGATTCTTGTGAGCAGCAAACAGGCGTTCAACTACAAAAGTGTCTAAAAAAGAACTTGTCAACGTACAAGATGGTTGAAATGTCTCTCCCCTATTTTGCATACCTTATAGCAATTTTTCCCGTTTTTTGTTAAGTATTTTGTACCCTGAAGTTGGTATTTTACCAACTTCACTTCGTTAGAGACAAGCTAACGGAGGATCCATATAGCAGCACGATTAAAAAATCGAAGATTCGTAGTGGCCGTTATTCGAAAGTGCAGAAGTTATAGTGACGAGGCTGCAACTCGACTGCTTGCTCATTTTATTTTGGCAAAACTCGCTGAGTTACATCACAAGAGAATTTAATATCGCACAGAGATATTGAGCATAGATGTTCCTGTCAGATGTTTTGGTTCCGATATCATTCTGTTTCCAAGAAATAAGTATTTTTTAGTTGACTCTTTTAGGCACAAGTCTACCGGCTCCTATTAGATGCGAACACCAACGTCAACAACCACCTTCAAACCAAACCAAAGAAAGAGACTTTTTTTTTGACGTCGATACCATTCGAGACGCAGGAACCAGCCTTTAGCAGATCCCCCTGACTCCACGATCCATCCGATTCGCACGTGACATTGACGGAATCCGCGATCGCGAGACTCAATATCATGCCGCTGGGGCACGAATATTTCACCGCCGTCCCATGCGATCTCGGCGTCATCTGCAAAGAAGTTTCCGTTTGGTTATGCCGGATCCCTTTTGCATCTAATAGGGGTTCCCCTTGGCAATCGGATCAGAAGCCCGTGTACGAATTCAAGAAATTATATCACGAAAGTACTTCATCTGAACCAGAAATTCCATCTCATTTCGTTAACCTCAAAGTTTTACCGACATTTTACGCGAAGATGCGAGAGATCCATATTTCGCTTTATTGTTTTGAACGTTTTGTCTCGACTGTGACCGTGCACGATAGATCTGGATTTTGATTTATGCTGACATTTCATTTGGAACCGATTCCTTTGGCAGTGATGGTCTAACAAGAGGAATGAACTCCGATCTCACCCGTTGAACCCAGTCGCTGTGAAGGCTTCCTGTGGCCTCTGGCGGGTCCGACAGGCATGTCTCATCTTCCACGCAGGGAAAAAAAAAGTAAAATATTTATAATAATAAATTTATTGATTTATTTCTATTTGTTTCTATTTGTTAATAATAAATAGAAACAAGCTTAGAAATCTGGATTTTCACGATTCATCGAAGGGGAGACTCACTCGAATGAAATTCGCAGATGACCTTGAACTTGGCCTCGGTGCAATTCCTGTTCTCGACCGTGAATCCCGAGGAAGTGCTCTTCAATCGATAGCACAAACCCTCGACGGAATTGGTATCGGTGAAATTATCTTCTTTGAGGGCCAAGGCCTCGGGGTCGCATACTGGCTCTCCGTCCGCCCATCGCCGGATCCCGTCCGATCCCGTTCGCATCCCGATGTACAAGGCTGGACGAGAATAATTTTGAATATCGTACGTGCATTCGTCCCTAGCGAGGAAGAAGTGATCGGTCAACATGAGGAATTTTTACCTACTTCAATAGCACCGAGTCCGCTATTAGAATGAAACGAAGACGGGAGAAAAAGCGAATGTCAATTCTGCTTTCTCGAAACCCAGCTGATTTACTTTCCCAAAATGGGGACTGACCATCATTATGGAACCAGCCATCCTGCATTTTCAGGCTTAAAATGTTACTTTCCCCCGTTGTTGCATGCGTCCCGTACGCAATTCACGGTTTAGGTGAGGATTCTGAAATGTGAGAGAAAGAAGCCTCAAGGCTGATCGGGCACGCTCACAGGAGATGTTGACGGCAGGGGCGCTCATGTTATTCCGAAGGGTCTCCACGATCGAGGCGCTGTCCAGATGAACGGGCAGGATCCCCCCGCGAGAACGACACAATCCCGCAGCTTCGTCGTAGGTTTTGAACCCGTCCCCCGACGCCTCGAATTTCCTCACGTAGCCGACATGGGGCGTGCAGTCCCGGCCTGCAACACCATCGAGCCGTCAAAACGCGTCTGGCCCCGCCGAGGAAGAAGCAGCGCGAAACGCGGGAACCTGACCCTCCGGGAAGGCGCAGACGACTGCCCTCCGCTCCCCGCAGGGGGTGTCCTCGATGATGGACTCGCCCGGGTTCCACGCGAAGCAGGAGGAGTTGGCGCGGTCGACGAGGTGGGCCTTGCACACCGGGATCCCGTTATCCCAGTATTGGACTGGCGCGCGAGGGTCTGCCTTCTTCGTTCCCAGCCACATCGGAACTGGGACGAAGGAGAATCCTTGTTGATATCATCCTTCGGAGGAAAAGGGTGGAAAGGGTACCCAAAAAAAAGACATCCACCTTTTTTCCAATCCTTCGTATCGAGTGAATCCCAGTATTCATCCGTTTCCGTCTGCACGGGCAGATTCCCGCCGATTTTCCTGCAGATTTCGGCAGCCTCTTCTCGGGGGAAGAGGAGGGGACTCCCGGAAGACAAGACGGGAGACGGATTCAACAGGTGACACCCGTCTGTCCGTCACACCGAGAATCGAGCATCGAAAAGCATGCATTCGAGTTTCTCATCGACACTCGAAAACGCGGTCCACTCACAGTCGTGGAATTCGCAGACGACGGAAAACTCGTTCGAATCGCACGGCTTATCCTTGAGGCGCCGGTCTGACACGTCGAATCGATAGCAAACGTCGTCCATGTTCGAAATACTCTTGACGTCGTCATTATCCAACTTGAAGTGAGACGTTTTGCACAGCCACGATCCATCGCTCCACCGTCGCGTCTTCTCCTTCGACATCTCCAGGCCGACCCAATACTCTGCAAGTGGTCAAATTTGATTCCACTCTCGACTTCTAACGTGAATCGGGGGAGTGAAGAACTTACGCCCGGTCGTGGGATTGACCGATTCGAGGAAATTGAGGAAATTTTCGTAGATGCTGAGATCATCGAGATGCAAGGGAAGAGTTCCGCCCGCATCTCCACACAGCTTCCTCGCATCTTCTATTCCCACCGGCGTTCCAGATATCAGGCGGTAGCTCACATTGTAGGGAAGATCGTGCGAGCAGTTCACGCCTGCGGTCATGTAATTTGCTTATTAACCTGCGCCTGTCTTAGGGGTTTGCCAGGGCTTGAGTGCGTTAAACGAAGCAATTGTTCGTGTGATCCACTCGTAAATATAAGTCTTGGTTTAGGCAGAAGAACATTTGTTACGCAAGTAAATAATGATTATTTTTCTATTAGGCACGTTTTTCAACTCGATTGTGCTCCGTACTTAAAGAATACGATACAGTAAATCTCTCGAGTTTAAACGTATCGAACATGTGTCTCTTCCCATAAACACACGGAAATTCCCTGCAATCAGGCAACCTCGCCCCCCACAGAGCTAAGGAGTTTCCCGATGGAACGGAACCATACCGGGCGGATAAAAGCAGAAGACGCCCAACTCCCGGCTGCAGTCCGTCTCCTGCGCGATCCGCTTCGTGGCGTTCCAGTAGAAGCAGGGGGCGGGGACCCGACACGAAGGCGTTCCGTCGTCGTGAACCGCTGTCGATGTCACTCCCAGCCACATGTCGCTTTGGGCTATGCATGTACGACATGATGTGCTAGATGGCTTCCATGCCAGTTAGATTCAGTCGGTTATTTGGGGGGGGGGGGGGGGTGTGCTATATACTACAATCCAAATGAGATTGCCATCATCTTTTGAGTCAGACAATTTTTTCTACAGAATTATACTGAGCGTGTGATTAGTGAATAATAAGGAATGTTGTATGAATTTCCTTATGCGAGTAATGGCGGCCATAGGGAAATTCTAACAAGGTTGGTGGTGTCGGTGCCCAATGGGTGAATACGATCGTGAAAGTGAGAATGGTATCGATAATGTACAGCCCCCCCCCCCCCCCCCCCCCCCCCC